ACCATTTAAAATCTTTTATATTGTATTTTTCCTGTACCTTTTCTGTGTTTAGACACACATATTTACCATTGTGTTACAATTGCCTACAGCATTCAGTACAGGCCCACGTTGTACAGGTTTATGGCCTGGGAGCAATGGGCTATATCATATAACCCAGGTGTGAGGTAGACGACACTCTCCAGGTTTGTATAAGTACACTCTGATGTATGCATGGTGACAAAAATGTCTTGCCAGGGACCTGAGGTAGGTGGGTAGAGAGATTAGGAAATTCAGCTTTACTTCCTTCTTTTCACTTGTGGAAGATGCTACTGGTGTCCCAACCACATTCTCTTTGCCCACCCTGGAAGTGCCTAGCACTTCAGTGGCAATTCTCATATAAGCACCCATGTCCCTCTGCCTGAGAGCTTTCTCTGGATACACGGGTGTGCTTGACTCATGCATAGAGCAGGCTGAAAGTGCCCAGGGGCTTATAACCCCCAGGAGAATCTTCTACTTGTATCTGAAACTTTTGTCTTAGAGTCTGCTTTTAGAGAGACCCAAATTGAAAGAGATGGCAACAATATCAAATATTGTTAAGAATTCTAGTGATGAAATTTAATGAAGTTCTAATTCTCTTAAAAAGTATCTCAAATGTTCTGTTACATTTTGTTACTTTTGCAGTAATTGTTCCACTGTACTGCAATCCTTTCACTCAAATATACATCTGGGAATACTAGAATCAATAACACAGCTCCCATGTTAAAGGAGGTTAAGGCTGGGCACAGTGGCTCACACCCATAGTCCTGGCCTGTAACCCCAGCACTTTGGGGGAGCCTCAGCAGGAGGAACACTGAGCCCAGGAGTTCAAGACCAGCAGGGGCAACATAGTGAGACCCTATCTCTACAACAAATAAAATAATGAGTTGGGTGTGGTAGCATGCACCTTGTAGTCCCAGCTACTTTGGAGGCTGAGGCAGGAGGATAGCTTGATCCCAGCAGGTTAGGCTATAGTGAACCTTGGTCATGCCCCAGCACTCCAGCCTAGGTGACAGAGCAAGACCTTGTCTAAACAAGAAAAAAAAAACTAGATACACAAAATTATTGCTTTATATATAAATTACACACACACATCCCACAGTTCTGAAGGCTGAGAAGTCCAAGATTAAGGCACCAGCAGATTTGGTGTCCGATGAGGGCTGGCTCTGTTTCCAGCTGTGTTCTCACATGGTTTGAGGGCAAAACAAGTGCCGTCAGGCCTCTTTTAAAAGGGCACTGAACCTGTTCATGAGAGCTCTGCCCTCATGACCTAATGATCTTCCAGATGACCGAGCTACCAGCACCACTGTACTGTGGGTTAAATTTCAACATAGGCATTCTGGGGGACACAAGCATTCAGATCAGAGCAACATGTAAAATGGAATAGGCCGTAGACCTGAATACAAACAGGCTTTTTACCCACATAAGCACGTGGCAGGATAGTCAAGATGGTTAGAATAGAAAACAATTTGGTTTTTGTGCAGCATTGTGTCTGTCACTATTGGACCTCATGTGTTATCTGCCAGTTCATTGTCGACAAACAAAAATACCCTATGAATTTCCAAACTGCTCCCTGCTAAGTAAATATCCAATGTGAATATTATTGCATCACTGAAAATATTTATCTATTCTTTTCAAAGGTTCCAGACTCACCATCTTTCTTTTTTCTCTTTTTCTTAGAGAAGGGGTCTCATTCTCTGCCCAGGTGAGAGTGCAGTGGTGCGATGATGGCTCTCTGAAGCTTTGAATTCCTGCCTCAACCACCCAAGTAGCTGAGACTACAGGTGTGCACAACCATGCCTGGCTAGTTTAAAACTGTTTTTATGCCGGGCGCGGTGGCTCAACCTGTAATCCCAGCACTTTGGGAGGCCGAGGCAGGTGGATTACGAGGTCAAGAGATCGAGACCATCCCGGTCCATGGTGAAATCCCATCTCTACTAAAAATACAAAAAATTAGCTGGGCACGGTGGTGTGTGCCTGTAATCCCAGATACTCAGGAGGCTGAGGCAGGAGAATTGCCTGAACCCAGGAGGCAGAGGTTGCAGTGAGCTGAGATTGCGCCATTGCGCTCCAGCCTGGGTAACAAGAGCGAAACCCCGTCTCAGAAATAAAATAAATAAAATAAAATAAAATTGTTTTTATTTGTAGAGGCGAGGCCTCCCTGTTTTCCAGGCTGGTCTCAAACTCCTGGCCTCAAGGGATCCTATCTCAGCCTCCAGCGTGCTTGGATTTCAGGTGTGTGCCACTGTGCCCGGCCCCGTTTTCCAATAAGCATCAGTTTCCTATGTATTACATGTTGAAAGTGCATTTGAAGCAGGCCGAAATCCATCTGAAGCCTATTTTATCCAAAGACTGACCACCAACCCTAGTCATTACCTACTAATTTCCCCAGAAGGCCATTGCTGAGAATCTCTGGAGATTTGGAGAGGGACTCCTCAGCCACCAAGTGGAACAGGGTATCATCTCTACGCTGCGGGCACAGTAGATACCATTTGCACACAACTTGATACTTTGGAAGTTTGTAATTCTTGTTTGTTGTTTTTGGTCCTCTCCACTACTTAGTAAGTTTTAGGAAGAATTCTGGTCTATCTCAGCTATTCAAAAGGAGCACTGTACTAAAGGCAGGGGAAAGCAAGGGGAAGGTGGTTGTCAGGGATGCTTGGCCTGACACAGTCTTCCCTCCTGCCTGAAAAAGACTCTCTCCTTTGACCAAAACTCCAGTCAGGTGTCTCTGAGTCTTCTGCTTGAGTAGGCCCCACTTTGAGCATCCCTCTCTGTCCTTGCAGAACCCAGTGTCAGCAGGAATCCTGCTAAGTGGGTCTAGTGAAAAAACCCCTACTCTTGATTGACCACCTTTGATATCTGATCACCCTGGCCCACCTTCAGCAGGAATCCTATTTGGTCTGTTCAGACAGAAACTGCCCTATATTTGTTGCTTCCTCTTAATAATTTTCCATGCATGCTTTCCACCCTGCTCCTTGAATATAAATCTCCATACGTCCTTGGTAAAGTTGGTGTTGAGCTCAATCCCTCCCCACTGCATGGCCCTGCAGTACCCCTCTACCTATCACCATGGCCCCCTGGAACAAAGTCTGCCTTACCATCTGATATGGTTTGGCTGTGTCCCCACCTAAATCTCACCTTGAACTGTAATCCCCACAATCCCCACGAGTCTAGGGAGAGAACTGGCGGGAGGTGTCTGGATCATGGGGATGGTTTCCCCATGTTGTTCCCAAGATAGTTTATAAGTTTTCACAAGATCTGATAGTTTTACAAGGGGCTCTTCCTCCATCACTCAGCATTTCCCTCTCCTTCCACCTTGAGAAGGATGTGTCTGATTCCCTTCTGCCATAATTTTAAGTTTCCTGAGGCTTCCCCAGCCATGTGGAATCAATTAAATCTCTTCCTTTTATAAATTATCCAGTCTCGGATATTCATAGCAGTGTGAGAACAGACTAATGCACCATCTTGAACAAGTGTCATGAATCATTTTTTCTTTAACCTTAACCACCTGGAGATTTTCCTGATGTGAAGACCTCAGAAATGCTGTTTTTTAAAGGAAGTCAATGGCTTCACATCAAAATGAGCGGGATACAACATCTTGTAAAACACATTCCATTTTTTATGGGCTCACTCTTTCACAGTAGAAAGAAGACAGAAACCCAATAACTGAGACAATGATTTAAGTTTTATAAAGTAGGTGTACATCAAGTGTGATGTCAGCACAGAAGAGTGGATAACCACTTCTGCCATTACAGTCTGGAAGAGGTACCATTTCAGCTGATATTGTGGCAAAATAGTTTACCCAGCAGAGGGAGTGGGTAACTTCTCCACTCAGTGATGTTCTTAAAAGTACTTAGGTAGTAGTGCTAGGCAGCAAATGATTCTTTTAATGTGTATGTCCACACATTGTTATGTGTAGGTAGCCTTATTAATCTGGTTGTATATAAAAGGGTAATAATAAAAATGAAATCACCGAATTCTATAAATTTGACCTCAAAATATGCTGTAAGTTCTGATATTATTTCTACTCTACCTGGGAAGGCAGAGTGGTTACCTAGGAAGATGAACTGTGGAAGTTGGCTGTGGATTGGTGATACCTGACCTCATGAGTCAGGCTTACTCTGTCTCCTTCTGGGTCTCTCTGGTGGAGACAGTCCTTCACCTCTGCAAAGCTTATCCAAGTGTCTGGTGATTTCTTCATAGTGTATATAGCTTCTAAGGCTTACAAACATACTCCTACCTTCCCAATGTAGAAAGCAGATTCAACAAAACAGCAAGGCAATAGGTGATTCCTAGGGATCAACAGAATGAGCTCTTCATAATAAAATCCAAAAAAAGAGAAAAGGTGGAAATATCGGCCAGGGCAACAGAAATGAAATTCACCAGGAGTTTCAGGAACTTCATAGTAAAGGTCGGATGAATTACATGGGGTAGGGTTTCCTCCACCTCTGCACTACTGACAATCCAGGTGAGACAATTCTTTACTATGGGAGGGGGCCAGGGAGAGGTTGGCCTGGTATTGGTGGATGTTTAGCAGCATCCTGGCCTCAGCCCATTAGATATCAGCAGCATCCCCCTACCACATCGTGATGTCCAAAAATGTCTACAGATATTGCTCCCTGGAAGTCAAAACTGCCCCCCTGAGAATCACTACAATAGGGCATCTCAGACTTTAAGGTGCACACAAATTATCTGGGATGCCTCCCAAAGTGCCAGAATTACATGCCTGAGCCACTGTATCTGGTGGGCAAATGTCTTTAATGTCTGGCTTTCAGTTTGTTACAATACATTGCTTTGGTTGAAGCATAAGAGAAAAACCTGGCCTCACATAGATATACCCAGTGGTTGGGAAAAGAAGTATTTTAATAGCCTTTCAGGTGATACATTATTTTTTGATACTATACCATAACTTAGCAAGTGGTAGTTTCTTAAAGGTTAGCTGCAATGAGGAATCTGAAACCACAGAACGAATATTTTGGACTCTTACACTAAAGTTTATTGGTTTATTTTATGGTTCAAATTGATCTTTTACCCATATAAGATTTTATAACATTATGCAGCAGTCAACTGGAAAATCCAGTTATTTAGCTATTCCAACTGTACAGTGGAAAACTCTACTGTATACTTGTGTGGGGGTAACCTCTCACATGGGCACCGAGGAAGGAGAGCTGTGCACACCCCAGGCACAATTAGTGCCTGAAGAATATCTTAGTTTATAGCATTATCACTCAGTTATTTCCTTTATATAATCTTTACATATAATCATATACTTGTTTACAGAATTAGTACCTGAAGTATAACTTACTGCTTACATATATCTAGCTTATATAATCATACTTAGTACTTATATCTAGCTTATATAATCATACTTAGTACTTATATCTAGCATACTTAGTCCCACATAATCTTTCTATATAATCATACAGGTATTATACAGGTATTGTAGTTGGAGCTGTATCGACACAGTTAGTACTGATTTATATAATCCTTCTATATGACCATATAACATTTGTAATAGGAGGAATGCTTAGAGCAGTCACAAAGCAGAAGCAGTACATGGGAAAACAGCCAGACCAGGACAAGAACCAAAGATCCAGGCGGTGGCATCCCTGCCTGAAACGGCATATGCTGTATGGCAGGCTTGGAGCAAGAGCCTCGTCTGAAAAAGGAGCTGTAGTACCTTGCATTCAGTTTCTGTGGAAAGTAGGCCTCAGGCCTGAGATCCCGTAAATAACTGAGGGAAAAGAACCCTTCTGGTATGATCGGGTCACAGCGGCTGTACACCCCGTCAGCCTTTTCTTGCTTCTGTGCTAGCTCAAATCATCCTCCCATAAATATCTGGGCACGGTGGCTCAAACCTGTAATTCCAACACTTGGGAGGCTGAGGCGGGCAGATCACATGAGGTCAGGAGTTCGAGACCATGCTGACCAACATGGTGAAACCTTGTCTCTACTAAAAATACAAAAATTAGCTGGGCATGGTGTCAGGCACCTGTTAGTCCCAGCTACTTGGGAGGCTGAGACAGGAGAATCGCTTCAACCCAGGAGGCGGAGGTTGCAGTGAGCCCAGACTGTGCCATTCCACTCCAGCCCGGGAGACACAGTGAGACTCCATCTTAAAACAAACAAAAAAAGACTGAAAATGAACTTTACAAATAAGGCCTAAAGAAGCAAATAAAAAGCATACGTTTGCCTTCTAAAAATAAGGAACGTTAACATTTTGGCCCACTGGAACCTCTCTTTGCGGGCAGGGGCTGTGTTGATCTATGAGTCTCAGATTTAGTACTGGCTGGCACTTATGAGCTCAAAAAGTTTTTTTATTTTTTAAAGTACCCCATAGCCTATCCCTTTCATTTAGCTCGGTGGTGCAGTCAATTTCCCCAGAATATGCATTCTCACATAATTTTATGTATTTCTGGGGTACAGTGTGATGTTTCCATACATAAAAACATTGAGTAACCATCTAATCAGGGTAATTAGCACATCCATCACTGAAACACTTGTCATTTCTTTGTGGTGAGAACATCCAACATTCTCTTCTCTAGCTATTTTGAGTCAACATTATTGTTGAGTATAGTCATCCAAAAGAGAACACCAAAACATACTCCTCCTAACTGTAACTTTGTACCTGTTGACCAAGCTCTCCGCATCTCCCTCCCCACTAACTCTCCTCTGTAAAAGAGTAACCACTTTTACTCTTTTTTATGAGATCAACTTAAAAAAACTTTTTTAAAACGACTGCATGTTTTCAGGCTAACACTCATTTAAAAACCGCGAATTCGGTAAAGAGTAAATCATTCTGCTGGGGTAAAAAATATTAAATGGCCTGGGTCCGGAAGCTCGCGGGGCACAAGTGCAGGGTTGCTCTGCCGGGCTCGCCGCGCCTGGGACCCCCAGCCGCCCGCCACCACAGGGGGAGGACGGGTGCTGACTCCCGGGCCCACGACACTCGGCTCCGGTGGTGTGGATTCCGCGCGGGACCCACGCGGGAACAAAGGCGGCTGGACCGTCCGACTCTCTGTATCCAGAAGGACCTGTTCCACCTCTCCGGCTCCCACACCCCTCCATCTGCATCTGCGTGACCTCTCAGACTCCGCTGGACACCGGAACCCAAGACAGACCCCACTGCAGTCAAAAGCCCGCGGGGAGCCAGCTTCAAGGGACTGCCCGGAAAGACAGAACGCGCGTGGAAAGCGCCGGGCGCCAGTCTCGGGAGAGGTTTGAGGCTGCGCTCATGCCCAGCGCCGGCAATCCAGAGGAATCTGCAGCCATTTGCGTAACCACCAGGGGTGAGGTGGCACTGGACATAAACGTGAGGGTCCCGGGAGCTTCACCTTCGTTGCGCAAGCGCCATCCCTTTCTACCTCACGCGGCTCTAGCAGCCGTCTTTTCTACCTGAAGAGCTGGCCCCTCCCCTCTGGACGCACTTCCCTTCCCCGGCAGGAAGAAGGGCGCTGACCCAGGGGCGCACGCCCCTGGCTGCGCATGCGTCATTCGTCAGCGGCGAGTCGCCTCGCCGCGCCGAATTCACCGCCCCGCCGGGAGTGCGCCTGCGCAGTCGCCGGCGCTCGCACCTCAGCTTCCCCTCCCCCTGGTCCCCGCGGGGGCTCCGAGCCCGGCGGGACCATGTTCACCAGCACCGGCTCCAGTGGGCTCTGTGAGTACTGGCCGCCGCCGTCCTGGCTGCCCCTACACGCCACCCTGGGCACCTCCTTGAGGAGGCTGTGGCAGCGGGGACCCTCGGGTTTGCCGGAGGTGGTGGGGCCGACCCTCCAGACCCGCGCCCGAACCCTGCTAGTTCCTGGCCTAGGGGGTCAGCGGAAACCGCCCTCACTTCGGCCTGGGGGGTGAATGGGGACCGCCAGCCCCGACCCTACCTGGTGTCCCCAGGTGCAATGGTCAGGAGTCTCTTGGGGCTGCTGCAAGTGGGCTAGTGCCCTGGTGTTCTCGTGGGCCGGCCCCAGGCCCTTTGCGGCGCGAGTGCAGCGCTGAAGGAAAGGGTCGTCCCCCTCACCTTGCCCCATTCATTTAGGTTCTCGAGGGACGGAACTGACTGCCTCCCGCCCGCACCTGCAAAGTTCAGCCTCCGCTTTAGAAGCTGACCTCTGAGTTTCACTTGGATGTGTTTCTTCTCCAGGCTCCAAGAAGAGTTTTTAGACAAACAAACACTGATGAGAGTGCTTTCTAGTGGAGGGAAGTTAGGAAGTCGTGGCGTGGGCGCGCAGCTGTGCTGCTGGTTATTGCTGTTTTCCTGGCGTGTTAGCGGGGGACAGCAGGTAGGGGGCGGAGAAGTATTTTTACAGCCAGTTAAACGGCTTTTCTCATTGACCCAGAGCGTGTGGAATTGACTTTCGGTAAGGTAGACTGCGTGTTAACGGCTCGGCACGGGTACGGCAACGGAAAACAGCTCTAATTTCGCAATTTCCATATGTCACTGTTCATACTCCATGTGAAGTTAATGCTGCTGGAGGACAGAAACATCTGACATTTCCAAATACGAAAGATCTGTTGGGAATGTCATGAATCTTCTGAGAATACGTGTCTTGTCTTATAGTCCATCAGTGAGTTAGTATCAGAGTCACAGGCATAATTTTAAATTTTCCTCACTTCTCAACTTCTCAGGTTTTGAAGTGGTTTCAATATTTATGATTTCCTTTGTTTCATAATTAATTTGATTCACGGTATCTTTTATTCATTGGTCCCAGAGTATGTTACCTCTACTAATCTTCCCCAAACAACCCTTTAGATAAAGAACCTTATGACTGTAGTTGAAGCTGACAGTTTAAGAAGGTGGTGTGGTTGTCCTGGGATCACACAGTGAGCCAGGAACTGGTGGTTATGAAATTCGTGGTAGAATTTTTCAATTTCAGTTGTTCTTTTAGCATTTTGATCTATCCTTGCTGCCCAAAGTACATATAAAAAAAATTAAAAGGGGAGTCTGCTGTTGTTTGCTGTACTGTACTAGCCATGAGATTATATTGGCCATGTGTATTCAAAGTTGATACAGGGTGACTGTGGGAAGATAATTATCTATGGCGCATGGTGGTGAGTGTTGAATTTTAGGAACCAAATTGTTGCCCAGGGAGAGGCCTAGGCCTGGATCCCATCTGCAGCTGTCTTGGCTTGTTTCTAAAATTAAGTGCTTCTGCAGTGTAAGAGTTGTTGAGGCTGGGCTCAGTGGCTCACGCCAGTAATTCCAGCACTTTGGGAGACCAAGGTGGGCAGATCACCTGAGGTCAGGAGTTCGAGACCAGCCTGACCAACATGGAGAAGCTCATCTCTACTAAAAATACAAAATGAGCTGGGCGTGGTGGTGTACACCTGTAATCCCAGCTACTTGGGAGGCTGAGGCAGGAGAATTGCTTGAACCCGGGAGGTGGAGGTTGCGGTGAGCCGAGATCACACTATTGCACTCCAGCCTGTGCAGGAAGAACTAAACTCTGACTCAAAAAAAGAATTGTTGGGATGGCAGTTCCTCAGAAGGCTGTGTCTTACATGCTCTTTTTACAAACATTTTGGGCATCTTCTCTGGACAATGAAGTGGGCTAGGTGCTGGAAACACAGCAATGAACAGTTCCTCGTCTCAATGCATGTGGTGCTGACAGTGGAGTTTAGGTACAGTTTTCCAAGACTGGTCATTAGAAAAGGCTGTTCGTCAGCTTTAAATTTTTTTTCTCTGGAGAAGCTACCCACTGAGGGGGATTTCCTTTATTTTATTCTTTTTATTTATTTATTGAGATGGAGTCTTGCTCTGTCACCCAGGCTGGAGTGCAGTGGCAGATCTCGGCTCATTGCAACCACTGCCACCAGAGTTCAAGCGATTCTTGTGCCTCAGCCTCCCAAGTAGCTGGGATTACAGGCGCCTGCCGTAAAACCCAGCTGATTTTTGTAGTTGTAGTAGAGACAGTGTTTCGCCATGTTGGCCAGCATGGTCTTGACCTCCTGACCTCGAGTGATCCTCTGCCTCTGCCTCCCAAAATGTTGGGATTACAGGGGTGAGCCACCCATGATTTCCTTTAGATAAGTTGAGGGACCCTTTAGTAAATCCAAATTCTGATCCTGAGTAAGTATCTGAAAGGAGGATGATCCGTGTGCACCCCCCATGGGTGGTGAATAACAGTCCCTTTCCAGGGAGAAATCCCTGCTATTTCCTACTACCTGCATGTTTCTCATGTTTTGTGGTTAATAGATAATAGTGTTTTAGTGTTAAACTTGCTTTTCTCTCTCATCTATTCAACGAGTGCCTGTTGAGCCCAAAAAGGCCATTGCACTGACTCCTCACTGAGCTAGTTAACACTTAAGCCATTCCCAGATGACAAGACTAACAGGGAATTGTAATACCCCTATACACTGCCACGGGGCCAGAGCCCAAAACACTCACACTGGCTTTCTTGGGTTCCTGCACTCAGCGTATCCCAAATTCTTGTCCAGTGTCCGGAAAGAATCAGGTCACACAGGCTTGAAGGATGGTGAATGCAGGGATTTTATTGAGTGTTGGAGGTGGCTCTCAGCCACACACTGTTGATACACAGAGGATAAAGTAATGATAAAGGTGACCAGCATCAAACAGGCTAACAAGTCAGTATGATTCACATAGTGATAAGTAACACGAAGACAATGAGAGGGGAAGTATAAAGACCAAAGTTATGGTGGAGGACCACTTTAGCATACATGATCACAGAGGGTAGCCAGGAAGGTGACATCTGTACTGAGACCCAAATGATGTGAAGGAGCCAGCCATATCAGAGTTTGTTGAAAACTCTTCATTTTGAAGAAAGGGACAGCAATACAGTTTCAGACACAGTACAGTTGAAAACACTCTGCTGTGCCTGTTTCAAGTGCTTGAAACTATACTGCTATCTGCCCAGTCATGCAGTTATGAGCAGGTAAAAGTGCACAGGATTAGTGGTCATGACTCACTTTAGATTCCTTGCTTATTGTCCAGTGCTGTCACTCCGCTCTACATTGTATAATGTGTATATCATTTAGTAATAAGCTCCAGTTCACTCCACAGTGTGTTCACTGTGTAACGACCGATGCAGCCAACATTAATTGCATGTCTAATATTTTCCAGATACAGTTCCCGCCCTCAAGGAGTTCAGTGTCTATTGAGCAAAACTGTTTTAAAAAGAATGTCTGTGCTTGGTGCTATGGGTTTATTGCAGGGGGTGGGCTGGTTGTGGGGGGGGGCACAGTTGAAGAAGACTTCCCAATGTAGCAATATTTGGGCTGACTTTTGAGAGTTTGGCAGGCATCATAGGGTGGAGAAGGCCTCAGAGGGACAGAGCCTAGACAGGTCTTGGCAAAGAGGCAGGTGGGAATGAATCCAGGTTATGCCTGGAGTGAGCTATTCCTAAGAGGTGTGTGGTGAAGTCTTTCAGTGGACAATGGAAGGTGAGACAAGAACTGGGGACAGAATTTGTGAACATTTTAAACTTTAAAGTGGGGAAAAAAGCAGGTGCCAGGGAAGAAGACTGAGGAATGGCCAAGGAAGTAAGGAGACACCCTGCAGGAGAGAATTTCAGGGGAGAGTGGCTGGTAGCATTATACACTGCAGTCATTTTCAAAACAGGCCTGAAGAGTGGCCTGTGGGAAAGAAAGAGCCCCCCAGGCCAGAACCTTTCCGGAATAGCTTGTCCAGTAGTTGGGGAGAGAAGTCAGATTATAATTGGCTGAGGAATGAGTGGGGCGTAAGTGGAAACAGTGAGCTTGGAAAGCGCTTTCAAAATCTTGGTTACGAGAATCAAGAGAGGGAGTTGTGCTTAGATGTGGCCACAGGTGTAAGGGAGAGTTTCTTTAAGTTGAGAGGAGGCTTAGCTTGTTTAAAAGGTGTTGGGAAAAAACTGTGGGAAGGAAGTGGTTGAAAATACAGGCAGGAATGAGTGATGGGGCTGAGTTGTGAGGAACTGTAGTAGGTGAGCCTCTAGGACCCAGGGCAGGCGTGCTTCTCACTGCTGTAGAAGGGAAGAGGAGGGGTTACTCTTGGTTATGGAGTAGTGGTTCTCAAATGCTGTTCCTGTCTCAGCTGAAAAAAAATCAGTCATGGTGTTTCCCAATGTACAGTTTCTTGGGTCCCCTCCCCAGAGGGTCAGATTCAGAAGAGCTAGCATGGGTGTCAGAAACCTGTTATTTTTTTGTTTTAAGAAATGTGTATTTTTAAAGCCCCCTCATCCTCCCACCCCAGGACATTCTAATGGACAAACAGATTAGGAGGAGGCAAGAGGGCAGCCACAGGTGGGGCAGAGAGAACAGAGTCTGGTGGGCTAATGAGAGATGATAGAAGATAGATTCTAAAGATGTGTATTCTGGTAGGTTGTGTTAATAAAGCTGATTGAATCTGGGGAGAGGGAGGAGTCGAAGGTGACTTTGCTTTACCACTTGGGCAGCTGGGTGGATAAAGAGCTTCTTTACTCATGTGGTCCTAAGACTGACCTTTGAACATCCAGTTTGAACATCCACAGTGCATGACTGCCCTCTACCTGGGGGAGTCAACAATGTTATTACCCACAAATGGTGTTTGCTTTAGGCCTCAGAATCTGGTTTTTAATCATTATCCACAAGTGTGTTGACTCAAAGCCTCTGTCATTAAATCTGTACTGAATAAATGCCTGGCGAGCCAGCTGTTCAGGGCCATGGCTGCTAACTCTTTACAGCACC